TGCTGCTGCTGCTGCTGCTGCTGCTGCTGCTGCTGCTGCTGCTGCTGCTGCTGCTGCTGCTGCTGCTGCTGCTGCTGCTGCTGCTGCTGCTTCTGCTGCTTTGGTGTAGTAGTGCTGCTGGGGCTTCTGCTGCTGTTGGGTGTGGCATAGCTGCTGTGGCTGCTTCTAGTGGGCAGCATTATGCTGCTGCCGCTGCAGCTGCTGCTGCAACAGCTACTGCAGCGGCAGCAGCTGCTGCAGCAGCTACTGCTGCAGAAGTGACGCGATTGAGTCAGCTGCAGCTAGCCGCTACTGATATCACAAATCTAGCAGCAGCAGCAGCACTGCCTTTTGCCTGTTGCACCGTCAACTTACGAATCTAGCTGCTGCTTCTGCTGCTGCTGCTGCTGCTGCTGCTGCTGCTAGGGCGTGCGAGAACTGTTTGCTGCTAAAGCTGAAGAAGTAAATGAGCCCCGCAAAAGCCGCGCCCAATTATTTCGCCGAATTACCCCCGACTACTTTGGCTGGAGAGACGAGGTGCAGCACTCTGCTGCTGCTGTTGCTGCTGCTGCTGCTGCTGCTGCTGCTGCTCTTGCTGCTGATGGTGTTGGGGCTGTTGCTGGAGGCGGTTGGGGATCGCTATAAGCAAACGCCCGGGGGCGCTTTCTTCCTAAACCCTAAACCCTAAACCCTAAACCCTCGGGTTAAGGGCGCGGGGCAGCAGCGGCAGCAGCAGCAAGACCTGCAGCGGGTGTGTCTCTGCTTCGTCATTGCTGCTTTGCTGCTGCAGGAAAATGAGGACCTGCTGCTGGCGGAGCAGCAGCAGGAGCAGCTGTGGCAGCAGCAGCAGCAGGAAGAGATAAGGCGTCAGCAGCAGCTGCTGGAGAGCGTAGGTGCAGCAGCAGCAGCAGACGTTGCTGCAGGGATGGCTGCTGCTGCTGCTGCTGCTGCTGAAGCGCGAGACAAAGAGGCAGCGAAACGCAAGCAAGGGGGCCAGGTACACACAAACCCTCACCAGCAGCAGCAGCAGCTGCAGCAGCAGCAGCAGCAGCTGCTGCAGCAGCAGCAGCACGCGCTTTTCTCGTTAGCTGCGAGGACTTAAAACTTGGAATTAAATAAAAATAAAAAAAGGAATTAATCGAAAAAGCCCCGCCTGCCTCTGCATGCCCCTCTGTGCGCAGGAAACCAGCAGCAGCAGCAGCAGCAGCAGCAGCAGCAGCAGCAAGAAGTTCCGGGTCTACGTAGACCTGCCCACTGACGCTGAAATTGCCAATTTGCTGCTGCAGAAGAAGAAGCAGCTGCTGGTTGCCAAATATGCTTCGCAGCAGCAGCAGCAAACAGAAAAGGTATTTATTTATTTATTTATTTATTATTTATTCATTATTATTTATTTATTTATGTATTATTTATTATTTCATTTTTTCATTTGCTTATTTATTTAATTCATTTATTTGTTTCTTTTTAGGCCTTTTGTTTGTTTTTTGTTTGATTTCTTTTTATTTATTTGTTTTATTATTTTATTTGTTTTTATTTATTTAATTACTTCTATTTATTTATTTCCTTTTATTGATTTTTATTTCTTTTACTTCCTTTTATTTCTTTTTTCTGTTCACTTCTTTTTTGCGTTTATTTTTTAATTGTGTTTTAAGTATCCTTTTAATTGTCTTTTTTTTAATTTTCTTTTTATTTCCTTTTAGTTATCTTTTTTATCTTTATTTTATTTCTCTTTAATTATCTTTTTATTTATCTTTTTATTTTCTTTTTCTTTTTTTTGCTGCTGTTTCCTCTTCTTCCTCTTCGCGCTTCTTGCTTGTCTCTCTTTGCTGCTGCTGCTGCACCTGCTGCTGTTGCTGCTGCTGCTGCTGCTGCTGCAGGAGACGCGGCGATTGGTCGCGCTGCCGGACTGAGGCCATTTGGGAATTTACTTTTTCTTTTTTTATTTCTTTAAAAAACAAAAAGAAACAGAAGAAATAAAAGGAAATAAAAGGAAATAAGAGAAATAAAAAGACAAAAAGATAATAAGACAAATATGCCCTCTTGCGGCCCGCAGCGGCCTCCGGTGTATGTACACTGCAGCAGCAGCAGCAGCAGCAGCTCGTGGGACGCAGCAAGAAGTTTCTGATAAGAGACGTTCTGGCTAGCTAGCTAGCCAAGTAGCTAGCCAACTAAGTAGCTAGCTAGCTAAGCAGCTAGCTAGCTAAACAGCTGGCTAGCTATGCAGCTAGCTAGCCAAGCAGCTGGCCAGCCAGGCAGCTACTTAGCTAGCTAGGCAGACAGCTAGCTAGCTAGCTAGCTAGCTAGCTAGGCAACAGGACAGCTACACAGGCACTATCTGGGCAGCTAGCTAGCTAGCTTGGCAGCTAGCTAAGCTGCTGGCTACTTGGGTAGCTAGCTAGCTAGCTAAGCAGCTAGCTAATTACCTAGACAACTAGCTAGCTAGGTAGCTAGCTAGCTAGCTAGCTAGCTGGGCTGCTGGCCTAGCTGCCTAGGCAGCTAGCTAGCTAGCTAGCTAGCTGGCCATCTAGACAGCTAGCTAGCTAGCTCGCAGCTAGCTAGCCAGCTAGCTAGCCCGCAGCTAGCTGGCTAGCTGTGCAGCTAGCTGCAGCAGCAGGTGATTGCTGAATCGGATCCTTTTGAGCAAAAGGACTTGAAAGAATTTGCTGCAATTAGAAAAAAGATTAAATAAAATAAATAATATAAATAAATAAAATAAGCAAAATAAATGAGTAAAAATAAAAATAAAATATATAAATAAAAGTGAAATAAATAAGTAAAAGAAGAAAGGGAGGACGAGTTTATACAAAAGAGATTAAAAGAAAAAAACAAAAAGGTATATAACAGGCTCGGTGCAAACCTTAAACCCCAAACCCTAAACCCTAAACACCAAACCCTAAACACCAAACCCTAAACCCTAAACACCAAACCCTAAACACCAAACCCTAAACCCTAGGAGCAGTTTTGACTACTGGCGCTCATAAAAGTGAAATAGGAGAAAAGAGAAAAAAAGGAAAATAAGAGGAAATGAGTTAAAATAAAGGAAACAAAGGAAACAAAAAAGAAAAAGAAATAAAGAATTAAAAATAATTAAAAGTAAGTTAAAATGAAATCAAAAGGATAAAAGGACAAAAGGAAATAGACAAGAGAGAGACAACAGGAGGCACAGCGAAGAAAGGGTTTAGGGTTTAGGGTTTAGGGTTTACAGGGGAAGCGAAACAGAGGGGTTTAGGAATAAGGGTTTAGGGTTTAGGGTTTGGGGTTTAGAGGAGAGAGACGGGACGAGGGGGAAGCAGATGCAAGGCAATTAAGGGCTGGGGGGAAAAGAGAGAGGAAAGGGTTTGGCGTTGAGGGTTTGGGGTTTAGGGTTTAGGGTTTAGGGTTTTGGCGACAGAACAACCACTACAAAGGGCTTCGGGTTTGGGGTAGGCGAGGGGAAGGGTTTAGGGTTTATGAATAAAGCTCAAATTAGTAGGAGAAAGGGTTTAGGGTCTAGCGCAGAGGAGAAGCTTAGGGTTTAGGGTTTAGGGTTTAGGGTTTAGGGTTTCCGAGCATAGGGCGGCTGCTGCTGGGGGCCCCCGGGGGCCTCGTGGTTGCTGCTGACGGCTAAAGAATAGTTTAAAATCCGCTTTTGTTTTAAAAACAACAATTAAAAGGATCTACAAGACTTGTTGGTGGTTTAAATGACTAAAAACGCCCCGAAAAAGAGCCCCAGGTGTTTCTAACCGGCTGGGGCCCCGAGCGGCAGCTTCCAGGGAATGTGCTGCTGCTGCGGGCTTTTGGGGCCATTTTTGCTGCTGCGTGCTGCTAGAAAGTAAATAAATGAAAATAAAAGAATAAAATTAATTAAATTGGGAAAGAAAAGGGGAGAAAGAGGAGCTGGGGAGGCGGAGCGTTCCGGGTCGCCTGCGGTGTCACTGCAGCGTCGGCCGTGGGGTGTACAGACAGCTGAGTCCATTTTTTTGTTTTTGGAATTTCTCCGCCAAATTAAATTCATTTTTTAATTTAAAAACGCCGGAAATGGGAGACTCAGGAGTGCCGGCCGGCGGGGAGGGAGGGGCCCCCGAAAAGTCCAACATTTACGCATTAATTATCTTCAAGTGGGACCCCGAGAAGCCCCTGCTGCTCTCTGCTGCTGTCGATGTTTCTTCTTTTCCTTTCTTCCACAGATCCACAATGAAGGAGCACATCATCTTCCACTCCAGGTGTACAGACACTCCAGCAACACCCAAACGCCCCTTCACCAGCAGCAGCAGCAGCAGCAGCACCAAGGGCAGGGCTTCCTTCTGCTGCTGCTGCTGCTGCTGTGTTGCGTGCGTTCCTTTTGCTGCTCTTTGCTTCTGGCCCTCCGGGCTCTTGCTGCAGCAAACTGTGCAGCAAATTGCGCAGCAAATTGTGCAGCAATATCTGCTCCCACCATCCAAATAAACTCCCGCACCTCTGCTCCCGCTGCTGCTGCTGCTGCTCTGCTGCTGCTGCTGCTGCTGCTGCAGGCTGATAGCAGCGCGGACGCCCCCCGGGCGTCGGCAGGTGGTGGAGTTCGAAAAGGGTTTGGGTCGGTGTTTTGTTTTTAATCATTTTTCTTCTCTTTGCTGCTGCGCTTTGACTTCCTTCAACTACCCCCTGAGAGTTGCTTTTGGGCTTCTCAACGAGGCCCTCAAGCAGATGCAACAGGTCTGCTGCTCCTGCTGCTGCTGCTGCTGCTGGGAGGGCTGGGGCTGCTGCTGCTGCTGCTGCTGCTGCTGGTGCTGCGAGGGGTGGGGCTGCTGCTGCTGCTGATGCTGCTGCTGGTGCTGGTGCTGCGAGGGGTGGGGCTGCTGCTGCTGCTGCTGCTGCTGCTGCTGGTGCTGGTGCTGCGAGGGGTGGGGCTGCTGCTGATGCTGGTGCGAGCGTTGGGGTTGATGCTGCTGCTGCTGCTGCTACGAGGGGTGTGGTTGGTGCTGCTGCTGCTGCTGCTGTGGGTGATGCTGCTGCTGCTGCTCTTGTTTGTTGCGCTGGTATTGCTTGTGCTGCTGTTCCTGGTGCTGTTTCAATTTTGCTGCTGGTGCTGCTCTTGCTGCAGCTGCAGCTGCAGCAGCAGCTTAAATGTCACGTAAAATTTATTCCTTTTTAATTATTCAAAGACCCCAAATGCCTCTTTAAAGGCCTCCTTGACTCTTTTTAATTAATTTAATTTAATCAATTTAATTTAATCAATTTAATTAATTTAATTTTAATTTGCATTTTCATTTCTTCAAAGTTCTCAAACTTTTTTCAATTTAATCGCTCTTCACTTCCATTTACACCAAAGCAGCCAAAGCAGACTCAAATTAAATTAATTAAATTAAATTAAATAAATTAAATAAATTAAATCAAATTAATTAAATTAAATTAATTAAATTAAATTAACTAATTTGCTGCTGGCAGGTGGAAGAAAGTGCGTGGCGAAGTCTTGCTGCTGACGCAAAGACCGATTTGCTGCCGAGCAGCAAATTGCTGCTGGAGAAATACAAAAACCCAGTTGAGGCCGACAAGCTCCTCAAGGTGCAGCAGGACCTCGACGAGGTTAGCAGCAGCAGCAGCAGCAGCAGCAGCGGCAGCAGCAGCAACAGCAGCTGCTGCTGCTGCTGCTGCTGCTGCTGACGACGAGGAGGAGCAGCAGCAGTCGGAGCGGTAGTAGGAGTGGTAGTGGCAGCGGCAGCAGCAGCAGCAGCGGTGGCAGGAGCGGTAGCAGGAGCGGTAGTAGGAGCAGCAGCAGCAGCAGCTGCTGCTGCTGCTGCTGCAGCAGAGAGAGCAGGAACGGTAGTAGAAGCAGCAGGAGCGCGGAAGCGCTAATGGTAGAAGCAGCGGCAGCAGCAGCAGGAGCGGTAGTAGGAGCAGCTGCAGCAGCAACAGAAGCGGCAGTAGGAGCAGCAGCAGCTGCAGCGGCAGAGCTGCTGCTGCTGCTGCAGCAGAAATGGTAGTAGGAGCAGCTGCAGCGCAGGAGCGGTAGTAGGAGCAACGGCAGAGGCGGTAGCGATATTAGGAGCAGCAGCAGCAGCAGCAGCAGCAGCGATCGTAGTAGTAAGAGCAGCAGCAGCAGCAGAACCGGCAACAGCAGCAGTAGATGCAGCTAATGATGGCGTGTGTGCAAGCGCAGAGATATAGTGCAGGAGCAGCAGCAGCAGCAGCAGCAGCAGCAGACATTGCAGCAGCAGCTATTGCAGCAGCAGATAGTGCAGCAGCAGATAATGCATCAACTGAAGGTTCTGCTGCTGCAGAAAAACAGAAAAGACATAATCCACACCTCAAGACACAATTTGTCGTTTTGCTGTTGCTGCTTTTGTCTCGCCCTTTTTTGATACTTTTTCTCCCTTTCTCTCTTCAGCAGCAGCAGCAGGTGCTGCTGCTGCTGCCTTTGCTGCTGCTGCTGCTGCTGCTGCCTTTATTATTCCTGCTTCTGCCGTTCCCATTCCTCTCATTGCCTTTGATGCTGCTGTTGCCACCCTTGCTGCTGCCGCCCTTGCCGCTGCTGCTGCTCCTCCTCCTGCTGCGTCTGCTGCTGCTGCTGCTGCTGCTGCTGCAGGTGAAGGGAGTGATGCTGCGCAACATAGATGAGCTGCTGCAGCGCGGAGAGAAGCTGGAAGATTTGATGCAGCGCAGCGAAGATCTTTCGAGCACTTCTTATCAGTTTTACAGACAAGCCAAGAAGTCCAATAGCTGCTGCAGCAGCCTTTACTGACCCTGCTGCTGCTGCTGCTGCTGCTGCAGCTGGGGGTGCTGCGGGGGGTGCTCGGGGTGCTGCTGGGGCTGCTGCAGCACGCAAGCTGCTGCAGGAGCGGCCACTCTGCTGCTGCTGCTGCAGCTGAAATGAGCTGCTGCTGTAGCCTGCGCCGACCGCTCTGCTGCTGCTGCAGCGGCAGCAGCAAGATGCAGCAGCAAAAGACGATACTAAAAGCAGCAGCAGACACCGGCAGCAAAGACAAGCAGCGTAAAATTAGTAGCGGAAAGCAGCAACAAAAACAGCAACAGCAAAAAGAAATAGCAGCAGCTGCTGCTGCAGTAGAGCCCTGGGCTCAGAAGGCAGGTGCAGCAGCAGCTTATAGCCCAGCTGCAACGGCGCTGCTGCTGCTGCTGCTGCTGGCCGCCACCAGCAGCAGCGGATGCAGATCGCAGCGACAGCAGCAGCAGTCCAGCAGCAGCTGCAGCAGATGCTGCTGCTGCTGCTGCTGCAGGTTAAGGAAGTGCTGCATGCGTAATTACTTCTGCAGTAGTGTTGGCCATATAGGGGCCTTCTTTGGTCTTCTCTTTTATTTCTTTTCTCATTAATTATTTATTCATTTGTTTTTCCTCATTTATTTATTTATTATTTATTATTATTTATTACTTATTTATTTATTTGCGGCTTCTTTATTTGTGAAAAAGGAATGGGCAGTGGCCGCTGGCTGCAGCCGGACCAACAGCAGCAGCAGCAGCAGCAGCAGAGTTTGCTGGGGGAGGACTTTTTCTCTTTCTCCGGGTTTAGCAGCAGCAGCTGCAGAGAAAACGCGGGCTGCGCTGCTGCAGCTTTGCTGCTGCTTCAGACGCTTATTTTCATAGCTTTTGGCTGCAGCAGCAGCAGCTGCTGCTGCTGCTGCTGGTCTACAGGCGGGTGGGGGGGGGCGGCCTTGGTCTGCAGCTGCGTGCTGCTGCAGAGGGCCCCCGCGCTGCCTGGGGAGTTAAATGGAAAGAATAAAATAAGATAAATAAATAAATAAAATAAAATTTCAAATTAAAACAGTTTTGCTGCTGCTGGCGCATGCATCGCTCTCTGTTTCCCGCCCGCAGCCGACAGCAGGCCCTGACCGTTGCAGCAGCAGCAGCAGCAGCAGCAGCGTCGGCTGCGGCTTCCTCGCGAGCCTGCAGCTCCTTCTTCGTTTATAAATTTTAAAATATATAAATAAACAAATTTGATTTTTATTTTTAAGAAGATTTATGTCGAAAAGAGAAGACAAGGAACAGCAAGGGCTCCGCCGCCAGCGCCGACCAACCGCGGGGGCGGGACCACCCGGGGTTTAGCGTTTAGGGTTTAGGGTTTAGGGTTTGGGGTTTAGGGTTTAGGGTTCCACAGAATGACCGCCTTAAGGCCTCCCCAACTCTCCGTCAACTCCGACGCAGAAGGGCCTCAGGGGGCCCCCCTTGCTGCTTCCTTGTTGTATGAGAGCCCCTCTAATGCCCGGGCCCGGGCGGGGGCCGCGGCAGCAGCAGCAGCAGCAGCTGCTGCTGCTGCTACTGAGAAGACAGAGCTGCAGCAGGGCGCCGCGCAAAGGCAGCAGATGCTTCTCCACAGGCAGCAGCAGCAGCAGCAGCAGCTGCAGCAGCAGCACAGGCCGGGCGCAGTCCTCAGGGCCAGTTTAGCGCCGCGGCGCAGCAGCGACCCCCAAAACGGCAGCAGCAGCAGCAGCAGGAGCATGCCTGCTGCTGACGGGTGGAGAGCAGCAGCAGCAGCAGCAGCAGCAGCAGACACAGACTCAGAAAGCTACCAATCCTCGGACTCCGACGGGGGCCCCCCACATCACTGGGGGCCCCCCACATCTGCGAGGGGCCCCCACTGGCCTCCCTACAGCTCCCAGCAGCAGCAGCAGCAGCAGCAGCGGGCAGCGCTGCTGCGCAGCAAGTCCTTCTCTGCGGGAGTTCCTGTGGCCCGCAGGCGACACGAGGACTCTTCGTTTGCTGCTGCTGTTGCAGCAGAGCAGCAGCAGCTGCTGCTGCAGGCAGCAAAGCAGCGGGGCGAAGAGTACCCACAGGGGCCCCCGCGGCGGCAGCGGGGGCCCCCTTTCCAGAGGAGGGCGAGCTGCAGCAGCAGCTGCAGCGGCAGTAGCAGCAGAAGCAGCAGCAGCAGCAGCAGCAAAATGGACAGACGCAGCAACGGAGAAAGCCCTGGAAGCTCTCTGGGCTTCTTCTCTTCTTCAGATCTTGAGTCCGAGGGGGGCCCCCCGGGGGGCCCCCCGAGGGGCCCCCCTAGGGGGGCCCCCAGGGGGCCCCCCAGGGGGGCCCCCAGGGGGCCCCCTAGGGGGGGGCCCCTGGGGGGCCCCCACAAGGGCTGGCGGGAGCTGCTGGCTGAGAGGCAAAGGGCTATGGAGCTGCACATGCAGCAGCAGCAGCAACTAGTGCAGCAGCAGCAGCAGCAGCAGCAAATGGCGCAGCAGCAGCGCAGAGCTAGGTGGGGGGAACCCAGGGAGTCCCCGGGGCCCCCAGGACCCCCGGGGGCCCCCGGGGGCCCCCAGGGTCCTGAAAACGTACCCCAAAGAGCTGCTCAGGGGGGCCCCTTTGCTGCAGCAGCAGAACGAGCTGCTGCTTCGGAAGGAAGCAAAAAGCAGCAGAAAAGAAGAAAGGAAAAGAGCTCGAAGAAGAAAAGCAGCAAAGAGACTGGGACTGCAGCAGCAGCAGCAGCAACAACTCCGGCTGCTGCTGCTGCTGGGGGTGAGGATGTCTGGGCAGCAGCAGCTCGCGACGCCGCAGCAAGGTAGGGCTGACCTAAACCCTAGAACCTAAACCTAAACCCTAAACCCTAAACCCTAGAGCCTAGCGCAGCTGCAGCAAGCCCTAAAGCCTAGGGCGTCTGCTGCTAAGCCCTACACTCTGATCCTGAGTGTGCTGCTGCTGGCCACAGCACAAAGTTTAGGGTTTAGGGTTTAGGGTTTAGGGTTTAGGGTTTGGTGCTTTGCTGCTGCAGGCCGCAGGGTCCGCAGCTGCAGCAAGGCCCTCCGGGGGCCCCTCTTCCCGTGTCTCCTGCTGCAGTTTTTCCTTTTGCTGCTTGGCCTCCGGGGGCGCCTCCCTTTTATGCTGCTGCTGCATTTGCTGCTGCTGCTGCAGCAGCAAGAGGGATGTCGACGCGTCAGCCAGACAGTGCGTAGGCGAGCCGCTGCAGCAGCAGCAGCAGCAGCTGCTGCTGCTGCTGCTGCCGTTGCTGTTGCCTTGCTGCATTTTTCATGCGGCTTGAATGCTGCTCAGGGCCGCCTTTTATTGCCTTTGCCTGCTGCTGCTGCTGCTGCGTTGCTGCTGCAGGTGATTTTGTTCTTGCGCAGCA